ATCTCACGGATTTTTTCAAGTCTTACGGATTTTTTCAAAACCTCATTTTCAAATTTATCTAAAATGTCAGAGCCTGTAGGATGATTTAAAAAATAACAAATAACCTTAAATAGCCATCTTCCAACCTGTTCTGCCGGTAGAATTAAGTTTTGAAATTTTTTCACTCTCCATTCCTCCTGCTTCGCAGCGGGCGCTTTCACGTCCTCAGCGAGGCTGAAAGGGGCGCTGAGCAGAGTTACAACCAGGGATTACAAATAATTACTTTTTTTCTTCTGCAGTTTGGCGCCCCCTCCAGCAGATGGCGCTCTAGGCAACCGCCTAGTTCGCCTATGCCAAGAGCCGGCTCTGTCAGGACGTGAAGATTACTGTAGTATGAATCAATGTGTATTTCCGGGTTCACCCCACTGATTAGCTGGAGGCAGAGACAAGCAACAGAGCTAATAAAGCTTGCTTCTCAGTCCAATGCTGGTGTTGTTTGACTCTTTCCACATTCAAGCATTTAACTAGACTCTCTCTGGTTATGAACATGTATTAAGGTAAACAAAGACGCTGTAATTATCTATTATCCTTCAAAATCTTTGTAAATTACAGTCAAACACATTTTAAAGTCTGTCAATAAATAAAGAATATTTTGTTTCTGATTCAAAAATGTAAGTTAAATTAAACTAAACGTGTTTCTTTTGATGTCAAAGAATTTTAATCCAGGAGAGAATTAAAAATTTCCCAAAAAACACTTCAACAAACAGGACATCAGCGTGACTGAAGTCAGGATCTGAGTCAGAAAACATCTCATTCTTTTGTTTTTTTACATCAGAGGTGACTCTTATTATAATGTTGGAAATATTTTCAACAAATTAAATCATGCTTTAATTAAATAATAAAGAAAAACTTCCAAGCTACTTTAAATCAGAACAGACGTGATTAAAAATCCAGTTATAAATTAATTATTCAGGTTTTCAGGTGTTTAAAATCCTTTAGTTTTTGACTTTTTACCACATTAGTTGGTTTACTTTTTTTGTTTTGAAGAAAGTTGATTTTTAAAATCCAAACTGAGGTTTTAAAAAAGTTTGCATAAAAGAAATAAGAAACTAATTTGGAGAGGTTTTACTGTTTACTTCGATAAAACCAGAAAAATCTGAGCTGAGACAAAAACCATCTGTCCCAGTACAGCAACAAACCAGATCTAAACCCAGAAACTGCTTCAACATCTGGACCCAGAACTCTAAACCAGAACTGGATCCTCCTGAATGACCTCGACATCATTCCGCCTTTACACCATCCACAAACTAGAACCAGTTTAAACCAATGAAAACCAGTGTAAACTAGTTTAAACCAAATTAAACTGCGGTAAACTTATTTAAACCAGTTGAAACCAGTTGAGACCAGTTTAAACCTGTCTATGGTCCTCCAGTCATTATGAAATATTCTATTGGAGAAATCTTGTATAAACATGCCTGCTCACAAACAGGTGTTCAGATCCAGGGGTTCTGACGGTCACTGAATGTATATATGTACAGCGGGTAAAATAAATATTGAACACGTCACCATTTTTCTCAGTAAATATATTACTAGAGGTGCTAATGACATGAAATTTTCACCAGATGTCGGTAACAACC